CACACACACACACACACACACACACACACACACACACACACAGGAACGACGGCTCAAAGAGACGCTGATAAACGTACCTTCAGTTTGGCTGTGATGCTCTCACACTCGCCCATCAGCTGAGGGATGATCTCCGCCTGCTTCCTCAGGTTCTCCAGCTCCTACAGAAAATAAAAAGGTTAAATCCAAGAGTCAACAGCTGGAAACAAACAGAACAGGAGGATTCATCTGAGCTGATGGAAGATCTCTGTTCATCCATCCATCTCTTCATCCATCTGTTCATCCATCCATCTCTTCATCCATCTGTTCATCCATCCATGCCCACAAAGTTCTGACCAATCACACGATCCTTGGCTCGTCTCCCTGAGAGAAAAAGTTCTGTCCAGATTTTGTGCACAGTGAGGGTTCCACACAAAACTCTGTAATTTTCACCACACAGAACAAATAAATCAACACCTTGTTGATACGTTTGGGGGTGGGACTGAGCTTAAGGAACAGTTTATGAACCACTGTTCTGACGTATAAATCCATCAAGTCCCACAGTAAAATGACTCAGTGTTCAGAAATAATGAAAGTAGAGTTTTTGGTCAAACAGAGCTCAGTTTGTTTTGGGGGTGACTCTCAGGTAAATGTTAGCTCAGTATTTGTAAAATTTACCAAATTGATCACATTTCTTGAGATCATTACAAAGTTTGACTAAAACAGCTTCAACAGTTTCCTCTCAGCTTCAGATGGTTTTAGTTTGAGCTTCTGTCAGGAACTCCAGGAGACAAACTTTTTATTAAGTTATTTGGTTTCTAAATTAATTATTTTTCTGCTGCTTCAAACCACAGACACCAAACGGTTGTCCATATTTACCTCCTTCCTTCATGAAATCATTTATTTGATATGAGCAGGTATTTCCCTCAGCGTCAGGCCGGCTCGCAGCTCGACCTCGCAGCCCGACCTCGCAGCCCGACCTCGCAGCTCGACCTCGCAGCTCGACCTCGCAGCTCGACCTCGCAGCTCGACCTCGCAGCCCGACCTCGCAGCTCGACCTCGCGGCTCGACCTCGCAGCTCGACCTCGCGGCCCGACCTCGCGGCCCGACCTCGCGGCTCGACCTCGCAGCTCGACCTCGCAGCTCGACCTCGCAGCTCGACCTCGCAGCTCGACCTCGCGGCCCGACCTCGCGGCCCGACCTCGCGGCTCGACCTCGCGGCTCGACCTCGCGGCCCGACCTCGCGGCTCGACCTCGCGGCTCGACCTCGCGGCACGACCTCGCGGCCCGACCTCACGGCCCGACCTCACGGCCCGACCTCACGGCCCGACCTCACGGCCNGTTATGTAAGGTTCTGTAAAGTTCTGTTAAGGTTCTGCAAGGTTCTGTAAGGTTCTGTTAAGGCTCTGTAAGGTTCTGTTAAGGTTCTGTAAGGTTATGTAAGGTTCTGTAAGGTTATGTAAGGTTCTGTAAAGTTCTGTTAAGGTTCTGCAAGGTTCTGTAAGGTTCTGTTAAGGCTCTGTAAGGTTATGTAAGGTTCTGTAAGGTTATGTAAGGTTCTGTAAAGTTCTGTTAAGGTTCTGCAAGGTTCTGTAAGGTTCTGTTAAGGCTCTGTAAGGTTCTGTTAAGGTTCTGTAAGGTTATGTAAGGTTCTGTAAAGTTCAGTTAAGGTTCTGTTAAGGTTCTGTAAAGCTCTATTAAGGTTCTGTAAAGTTCTGTTAAGGTTCTGCAAGGTTCTGTAAGGTTCTGTTAAGGCTCTGTAAGGTTCTGTTAAGGTTCTGTAAGGTTATGTAAGGTTCTGTAAAGTTCAGTTAAGGTTCTGTTAAGGTTCTGTAAAGCTCTATTAAGGTTCTGTAAAGTTCTGTTAAGGTTCTGCAAGGTTCTGTAAGGTTCTGTTAAGGCTCTGTAAGGTTCTGTTAAGGTTCTGTAAGGTTATGTAAGGTTCTGTAAAGTTCAGTTAAGGTTCTGTAAAGTTCTGTTAAGGTTCTGTAAGGTTCTGTTAAGGTTCTGTAAAGTTCAGTTAAGGTTCTGTAAAGTTCTGTTAAGGTTCTGTAAGGTTCTGTTAAGGTTCTGTTAAGGTTCTGTAAAGCTCTATTAAGGTTTTGTAAAGTTCTGTTAAGGTTCTGTTAAGGTTCTGTAAGGTTATGTAAGGTTCTGTAAAGTTCAGTTAAGGTTTTGTAAAGTTCTGTTAAGGTTCTGTTAAGGTTCTGTTAAGGTTCTGTAAGGTTATGTAAGGTTCTGTAAAGTTCAGTTAAGGTTCTGTAAAGTTCTGTTAAGGTTCTGTAAAGCTCTGTTAAGGTTCTGTAAAGTTCTGTTAAGGTTCTGTAAAGCTCTGTTAAGGTTCTGTAAGGTTCTGTTAAGGTTCTGTAAGGTTCTGTAAGGTTCTGTTAAGGTTCTGTTAAGGCTCTGTAAGGTTCTGTAAAGTTCTGTTAAAGTTCTGTAAGGTTCTGTAAGGTTCTGTAAGGTTCTGTATCTAGAGGAATGTCTCCTCTGCTCTCGGCAGCTCGGATGATGAAATCCTCTGACTCAGTCGGCTCGAGGCGACAGGAGCGGCGGGATCGTGTCAGACCCAGACGGAGCCCGGCTCTTCAGGTTCTACAGAGAGTTCTGAATCACTCAGAGATCCGCTCAGAACCGCTTTGTTCCAGAGACACGAGGAGGATCCTGTTCACGTCTCACAGCACCAACCCTCACCAACAAACGGTTTTTATTCAACCAGGAATCCAGATCCTGCTGGACTCTGGACCTCGGTTCTGTTCTGATGGACCAGCTGCTGTGTTCTGGATCAGGGTTCTGATGGACCAGACTGAGCAGCAACAAATTGATCTTAAAGGTTTAGATATATGTGTGTGTGACGCTCCTGAACAGAAGCTGTGCAGCAGCAGAACGCTAAAAGGCTAAAGGCTAAAAGGCTAAATGCTAAAGGCTAAAGGCTCTGGGTGCTGTGTGTCTGTGGAGGAAATAAAAGCAGCAATAATCCTCTCAACTTTGTGTTTTATTAACAGATAGAGAAACAATGAGCTGGTGGAACATGTGGAACATGTGGAACACGCCGTATCTTCAGCCTGTGAGCACGCACACACACACACACACACACACACACACACACACACACACACACACACACACACACACACA